AGCTTCTTTGGCTGGGTTGAGACAGGGTAATAGTTCGCAAATGGTCTCTTTAGCCATGACAGGACGGACAGAGAGTTCACAGACGACCTCCTTGGCCGGAACAGAACAGGCAAAGAGTTCACAGACGGCACTCCATAGCCGTGACAGGACAGGCAGAGAGTTCACAAATGGGTACCACTGACACCTCTGGAGGTTCTGCAGCGGATGCCGCCACCTCTGGAGGTTCTACAGTAGGACCATCAGGAAATAGGGAGAGTTCATTAACGGTTCCTTCGACTATGACATGACAGGCTGCGAGTGTCTTGCTGGGCGCCACCACCGTACAAGAAGTTGAAGTGAGCGCCGCCACCTCAGGAGGTTCTGTAGCACACTCCGCCACCTCTGGAGAAGCTACAGCAGGCGCCATCAGCTCTGGGGAAACAGCAGCAAATTCCACTACCTTGGGAGGTTCTGCAGTATCAGCCACCACCTCTGGAAACATCATAGTAGGTGAGTTCATTAACGGTTCCTTCGACTATGACATGACAGGCTGCGAGTGTCTTGCTGGGCGCCACCACCGTACAAGAAGTTGAAGTGAGCGCCGCCACCTCAGGAGGTTCTGTAGCACACTCCGCCACCTCTGGAGAAGCTACAGCAGGCGCCATCAGCTCTGGGGAAACAGCAGCAAATTCCATCATGAAGATCTGTTGTGACTTGACTTGTCTCATGAAGATCTGTTGTGACTTGACTCATGAAGTTCAGCTGTGGTTAGACTTGACTCATGAAGATCAACTGTGACTTGACTTGACTCAGGAAGATCAATTGTGACCTGACTTGCCTCATGAAGATCTGTTATGAGTTGACTTGACTCATGACGATCAACTGTGACTTGACTTATCTCAGGAAGATCAATTGTGACTAGACTTGACTGTAGGATATCAGACCGAATCAGACAATCTAAGATTTGGTCAAAACATGGCTGAAACCTGAGGAGCCCGAATTCCACAGAGGCCCAAGACAACAGGATGTTCATAAATCAGATCCTGGCCCCAAGCCTGAACCA